TATTTGAGAGAGAGAATGAGATAGAGCATGAGAGGGGGGAGGGTCAGAGGGAGAAGCAGACTCCCTGCCGAGCAGGGAGCCCCATGTGGGACTCGATCCAGGGACTCCAGGATCATGACCTGAGCCGAAGGCAGTCGCTTAACCAACTGAGCCACCCAGGCACCCAGAGAATTCCATACGTTTTGCAAAGACAGTGAAAGCACTCGATTTGGGTCTGAGCTGATGGCGGACTTTGTCTAAGCAGCATTGTGGCCTCCATGGAGCCCTAAGGTGGTCATTGGGCTGCCCTTGTTTTCAGTTCATGTAAAGTTTTCTGATTTTTAGTGGTTTCTGTTTCTGGTTTTTTGAGAGTAATTTTGTGACCTGAGAACAGTGGTTCAGTTCCCAAACTTGTGTCCACATTAGAAACCCCAGGGATCTTTATCATTGGAACAGAATAGAGACCCCAGAAATGAATCCTCAACCATACGGCCAACTAATCTTTGACAAAGCAGGAAAGAATATCCAACGGGAAAAAGTCTCTTTAACAAATGATGTTTGGATAATTGGATAGCCACATGCAGAAGAATGAAACTGGGCCATTTACTTACCCTATACATAAAAATTGACTCAAAATGGATGAAAGACCTAAATGTGAGACAGGAATCCCTCAAAATCCTAGAGGAGAACACAGGCATCAACCTCTGTGACCTCAGCCGTAGCAACTTCTTGATAGACACACCTCTAAAGGCAAGGGAAGCAAGGGCAAAAATGAACTGTTGGGACTTCATCAAGATAAAAAGCTTCTGCACAGCAAAGGAAGAGTCAACAAAACCAAAAGACAACCGACAGAATGGGAGAAGATGATTTGCAAATGACCTATCAGATAAAGGGCTAGCATCCAAAATCTATAAAGAACTTCCCAGACCCAACACCCAAAGAACAAATAATCCAGTCAAGAAATATGAACAGACATTTCTCCAAAGAAGTCATCAGATGGCCGGGGCACCTGGGTGGCTCAGTCGGTTAAGCGTCTGCCTTCAGCTCAGGTCATGATCCCAGGGTCCTGAGGTGGAGCCCACATCGGGCTCCCTGCTTAGCAGGGAGTCTGCCTCTCCCTCTCTCTCCACCTTGGCCCCCGCTTGGGCTCAAATAAAGAAGATCTTAAAGAAAAAAAGATCTACAGATGGCCAACAGACACATGAAAAAATGCTCAGCATCATGTGGTATCAGGGAAATACAAATCAAAACCACAATGAGTTACCACCTCACACCAGTCAGAACAACAAGTGTTGACGAGGTTGTCAAGAAAGGGGAACTTTCTTATCCTGTTGGTGGGAACGCAAGCTGGTGTAGCCACTCTGGAAAACAGTATGGAGGTTCCTCAGAAAGTTGAAAATAGAGCTACCCTATGACCCAGCAATTGCACTACTGGGTATTTACCCCAAAGATACAAAAGTAGTGAAAAGAAGGGGCACATGCACTCCAATGTTTATAGCAGCAATGTCCACAATAGCCAAACTGGGGAAAGAGCCCAGATGTCCATCGACAGAAGAATGGATAAAGAAGATGGCGTATCTATATACAATGGAATACTACTCAGCCGTCAAAAAAAAAATGAAATCTTGCCATTAGCAACGACGTGGATGGAACTAGAGGGTGTTAACGCTAAGTGAAATAAATCAGTCAGAGAAAGACAGTTATCAATATGATTTTAGTCATATGTGGAATTTAAGAAACAAGACAGAGGATCTTAGGAGAAGGGAGGGAAAATAAAACAAGACGAAATCAGAGAAGGAGACAAACCATAAGAGACTCTTAATCTCAGGAAACAAACTGAAGGTTGCTGGAGGGGAGGGGGAGGGAGGAAGGGGTGACTGGGTGATGGGCATGAAGGAGGGCACGGGATGGAATGAGCACTGGGTGTTAAGACAATCACTGAACTCTACCTCTGAAATTAATAATACACTATATGTTAATTAATTGAATTTAAATTTTAAAAAGCTTTCGAATACTTCAAGATACTTCTGGTGAAAATAGAAGTTATCAATTATCACATAATAAATGTGTCAATTGTATATTTTAGTAAACTATCATTTTCCAAATGATCAATCAGTACACGAGTAGAGATCAAAGTAAAGAAAAAGAAACAGCTGTGATCTTTTAAGTGTTCTTTTTTTTTGGTTTTTTTGGTTCTTTTAAGTGTTCTAAAGCCCCAGCCATACCCCAGACAAGCTGAGCCTCATCCACAGTGAGGCCCCAGCTGTCAGTCGCGGGATGCTGTCAGGACGATGCCAGTGTGCCTCATCCAGGTGGAGACCATAATCAGCTCATTTGAGAGAGCGGAGAATCTTGCTTTGGCGGCCTAATCACCCTCTTTGCTTGTGGGGTGACTGATGAGGTTATTTGGGGCTTTGGCCCTGTTCTGCCAGTGACCCTGTAGTCACTGGTGGAACTTAGTAGATTCTGAGTCCAAAATGTGTTTCTTTTTGTGCTTTTAAGTAAACAGAATCAAAGACCAGTATAAGGTGTCCGTACGCATCCCTCCTGACAGTGAGAAGAGCAACCTGATTCGCATCGAGGGGGACCCACAGGGTGTGCAGCAGGCCAAGCGGGAGCTGCTGGAGCTCGCCTCTCGGATGGTAAGACCTGTGGGCAGGTCCTGTGTCTGGGGAGCAGCGTATTTTCTCCCGCAGTTCTGCAGTGGCTCTGACTTGCTGGGGCCCAGGCCCTGTATGAGGGAGGCCCTGGGGCTCTGCATCTGGGTCTTCAGCCTTGGCCAAACCCGTGTCTGTGATGCTTGAGGGACCAATTCTTAAAAGCACCCAGGTGATTCCCACATGGAGCTCAGGTTGAAAATTCCTGCTTTGTGGTTATCTGCAACTCCGGGGGTTGGAGGGTGCGGGCATGGGCCCTGTTCCCTGGGCTAAGCTGCCGGCACTGGTGTGTTTTTCTGGATTATGTGTGTCAGACGCAGATAACCATGCAGCAGTGATTCCCCATTTTGGCTGCATGTAGGGGTCACGGGTGCCTTTCAGAATCCAGAGGCGTTACCTACTGCGTGAGTGATCGTAGCTTAACACAGACACGTGCAGAACGTCAGGAAAGCCTCAGGCAGGGCAGTGCATGTGCCTCACTGGGGAAGGGAGCAAGCCCCCCACGTCTGCTCGCACCGGTTCCCAAGCCTGGAGCCTCCCCTCAGAGCAGAGGCCCCCTTTTGACAGTAGACATTCCCTTGTCCTCAGCTGCAAGCCAGTGCATGCGGCCTCCCGCTGTTCCCTGACCATCCCTGAGCTCCCGTCTGGCCAGGGCCCCCTTGGTCTGGGGTGTCTTGTACCTGTGTTGGGCTCCTAAACCCTTGTTTCTTTTTAAACCTGGTGCCAGTCTGATCCAGAATCTCCCCTGAGTTCTTTCAGATGGTTGACTGGTAGTATGTTTTCTTTATCCCAGCTCTGCTTCTTGTGTATTTCTGGTGACATTTTAGTGAGACCTGGAGGAGGGTGAGAACGATGCAAGTTCATTATTCATTCTTAATGATCCACACAGGGCAGTGGTCTGAACCATACTGTGTTCAGGAAGGATCGCTACCTGTCCTGCAGAGTGTTAGGCCTCCTGGTCTCTTGCTCTGGTCAGCACAGAAGCGCTGACTGAACTGCTTTGGTGACTAAGGCTACTTGCAGTACCACTTTCAGTTGAAGGGTCCCTGCTCGGTTGTTGAATTGTACTTCCTTCCGGAGAATAATGCCCAGCCTGTGTTGTTGGAGAGAGCAGGTGTCCTCTAGCGGGTGCTCTCTCCTGGCTGGTGACTTCCAAGGATGCCACAGGGCACTGCTGTGCTCCCTGGGCTCCCGGAGCCTCCTGCTGTAATGTCCTCTACTTGAATTGTGCTTTTAGGAAAACGAGCGCACCAAGGATCTGATTATTGAGCAGAGATTCCATCGCACAATCATTGGGCAGAAGGGTGAACGGATCCGTGAAATTCGTGACAAATTCCCAGAGGTAAAGGTTTCCCAGTGGCATTCTTCAGCCCCCTTGGAGTGATTGATTGCCACTTAGAGATACTCAGTATTTTAGAATCCAGTCCTTACCAGTAACTGAACTTGAATTTGTGATGATTTGTTCCAGGTTATCATCAACTTTCCAGACCCAGCACAAAAAAGTGATATTGTTCAACTCAGAGGGCCCAAGAATGAGGTGGAAAAATGCACAAAATACATGCAGAAGATGGTGGCAGATCTGGTAGGGGGATGTTTCCCATCCTTGGTTGTGATAGCGCTGCCGGTGGCAGAGAGACCTGGGGGGGCGTATCCCATCAGAACCCCTGCTTCAGGGGGCACACTCAGGCCCGGGCTTGGTCTGCCATTGATGGAGGGGTGCCGACAACTCTTAGGACTTCAGTGTTCCGTGGAATTCAGGTGGGGTTCCAGGCTCCTTGTTCCCTTAAGGGATCTTCAGATACCTGGATAAGCTGTCCCATCCAGTGAGGAGAGAGATTTGCACAGGCAGTATGGGGAGCCATTTATTGATTGGCTATTTTCTTAAGAAGCTGGAATGAGAGCCGGCTGTTTGGAAAGTGCTGAGGGTGGTTATTGATGGGAAGGCTGCAGATGGGCTCATGCTTTCTGTGGTTTCTCATGGGGCTTGGACCGAGCTCACCACTGCCTCAGATTGCTGGTGGGTGCGTTCCCAGCACTGAGCTCGTTCACACTGCCACGGCGTGGTGGGGTTTGTGTGTTCTGGGCTTACTTCTCTCAGCCTGGTGGCCAGGACTCCCTCCTACCCATAGTGTCCGTTGAGGGCACCCAACACATGGCTTCTGGATTACGGACCTTGCACTGAACAGGTGGCAGGTTCTATGGGGAGCCACTTTTTATCAAGGTGGCTTTGCATCGGTTGACAGTGGCATGCCAGGTTAGCTTATTGTTGGGTAAGTTATCCCTCCATCTAAAGGTCAGAGGTCCTAGGGGGAGACGAGCAGGATCCAAGTGTGTGTTTCTAATAGCGAATCCTGTCATTTCATACTCCCTCACGGATGAAGGGACACGTCACTGTCCAGCATGATGGCTAATGGTGCCACCTCTTTTGTTTTTAAGGTGGAAAATAGCTATTCAATTTCTGTTCCGATCTTCAAACAATTTCACAAGAACATCATTGGGAAAGGAGGCGCAAACATTAAAAAGGTGACCGACCAGCTTGTCCCCTGAATCTTGGCTCCCCTCGGCCTGCCCCCCAAAGCCCTGTGCCATTCTGGCTTAAAGTTGAAGGAGGGAGCCTTACTTTCCAGCCCTGGGCTCCAAGTGTCTCAACTGGGAAGTCACTTCTCATGGTCCCCTGTCTCCTGGTAGATTCGGGAAGAAAGCAACACTAAGATCGACCTTCCAGCAGAGAACAGCAATTCAGAGACCATTGTCATCACAGGCAAGCGAGCCAACTGTGAGGCCGCCCGGAGCCGCATCCTGTCCATCCAGAAAGACCTGGTAATGGGGTGTTGTGTGACAGGGCATGTGCCAGGCTCCCCGTCATCGTGTCTCATCAGCTCTCCCCATAGCAGTGCAGGCCCGTGGCCGGCCTCCTGCCACACACCTGGGGCCGTGCTTACCACTAGACCTGAGCAGTAGCACTGGATTTGAGTGCTTGGAAATCATCCGGTCCTGAAGGCATAACAGTCTTTTTTTTTAATTTTTGAAAGATAACATGTAAGAAACTTCATGTTTAAAGTATGCAGTTTGATAAGTTTTGACCTATGTTGTACATGCATGGACTCTCCATGCTCAGGATAATGAGCATATCCAGCACCCCGGAGGTGTCCTCATGCCCCATTTCAGCACCTTCCTCTGTCCTGCCAGCCCCCACCCCGCCACTCTGCCTGTCCAGCCCTTCATCTGCTTTCAGCCACAGGGGATTGTCGAGTTTCCTGTGTCCTCGTACAAAAGAAATCATGGTGTTTGCTCTCGCAGCTCGAGCTCTTCTCACATGGAGCAGCTACGTTGAGATGCATCTGTGTTGTCCTGTGTCAGTCGGTTTTGTTTCTTTCCTGGGTGATAGGTCCCTGCGTGCACAAATTTTTCGCCTAAGATTTGTAGCTTTCAAGGGTTTTTTTTCCCTAGGTTGTCAAGGTTTTTAGCATGAAGTTTTTCATAATATTCCCATACTGTGCTTTCACTGTGCTGATGTCTCATGTTCCTGATACGTGTAATTTGTGTCATTATAGAATTATCTTCTTTTACCCTTGGTAGTAGTCTTTGCTCTGAAATCTATTTTTTCTCATTAAAGTGGGTTTCTTTTAGGCAGCTTTTTTTATTCAATCTTAAAGATTTTATTTATTTATTAGAGAGTGAGTGTGGGGGGAGGAGCAGTGGGAGAACGACAAGCAGACTCCACGCCCAGTGCAGAGCCCTACACGGGGCTCCAGCTCCCAACCCTGAGATCATGACCTGAGCCGAAATCAAGAGTCAGACCTTAACCGACTGAGCCACCCAGATGCCCCAATCTCTGCCTTTTTTAAATGGAGGTTTTTACATTTAATTACATTAGTAAATCTGTGTATCATGTATTATGTTACATATTTTATTACATTTGTTTAGTAAGTGTGATTAAATACAAATTTTTTAATTTTTAGAATTGTGGAAAATACACGTAACAAAATTTACCACCTTCGTGTGCGACCCCGGGCATCAGCTATGTGGCTGTCCCCGCTGTTGTCTTCAGCACCTTCCCATCTCCCCAAATAGAAGCTGTACCTGCAAACCCCTCTCCATCCCCTCCCCAGGCCCTGGTCGTGGTCGTTTTACGGAGGTGTCCTGCATTTGTTTTCTGTTTGCCCCGTCTACTTTGTTCTCTTTTTCTGCCTGCTTTTGGATTTAATACAGTTTTCTTACTCCTCTCATCTCCTTTTTGGCTTATTGGACATAACTTTTATTTTTGTGGTGGTTTTAGGGTTTTTAGTGTACATCCTCCACTTAGGCCCTATCTCTAAGTGACTTTGTGCTGGTTGCAGCGCAGTTTGAGAAGCTGCGAACCCCCATTTATCACCCAAGTCTCCGTGTCCACGTCCCCAGCCCCACAACACAGTGCTGTTTCACACTGGCTTCTTGCACTCGGTGTTAGTAGTAAGTCGGGTCATACGGTCGGAGTGTGTTTAGTTCTGTAAGGAAGTGCCAGACCGTCTTCCAGCTAGGCTGAGCTTTTCTGTGTTCCCAGCGGCGGACCTCAGGCCGCAGGTGTTCTTTCAGGACTTAGGACTTTGCTTCAGGGCCTTCCCAGGGTTTCTGCGGACACATCTGAGGTCCTCCTTGGCTTTCCTCCTCTGCACAGACTTCCTCTGGCTGTATTTAGGATTGTCACAAGGGCGGCAAGCCTTACGAAAGTTACCATGCGTCTGGGCGTCCTTTTCTTCATGTTGGTTAGAGTTGATTGAGCTTCTTGGATGCAAAGACTTCAGCGTTGTCAAATTTGGAAAACCTGGGGTCCTTCTTGATTGACTGATTGATTTTTTAGAGAACGTGTGCATGAGCAAAGGGGGAGAGAGAGAATCTCAAGCACACTCTCCGCTGAGCGCAGAGCCTGTGGGGCTCGATCTCATGACCCCGAGATCATGACCTGAGCCAAAATCGAGTCGGAGGCTCAACTGATTCAGCCCCCCAGGCACCCCTGGAGTCATTATTATTAAGTAGTTCTTCCTGTCCTTCCCGTCGGGACTCCAGTTACTTTGGACTAGGCCGGCTGGAGGTGGTCCTGTGGTTCACTGGTACGTTATTTATTTGGGTGGAAAGGAGAAGTGGTATTTTTCCCATTAGTTTCTTTGAATTCATTAATTTTCTGCAGTGTCTAATCTGCCTGTAATCCCATCTAATGTATTTTTCATTTCAGACATTTTCACCTATGGAAGTTCAGGGTGGAATATTTCATTTTTACACATGACACACTCAGTGTTCCCTTTGGGTTTTTTTTACCATGCATGCAGTCGTGAAAATGCTTGTAGTCATGTTCTCGACCCACTGGTTCTAATGTCTATGTCACTTCTGGACTGTTTTCTGTTCTTTCCTCACTGAGTGATTTCTCTTGTTTCTTTGAATGGTATTTTTTCGTTGGATGCCAGAAATTAGGACGTCTACTTGGGTGGATGCTGGATATTTTTGCATTCCTATAAATGTCTTAGCTTTGCTAAGGTACTTTGAAGTACTTGGCTCCTTTTTGGACTTGCTCTTAAGATACATGAGGTGGGGTCACAGCAGTGCCTGGTCTCGGGTGTTCCTTCCCACTCCTGGGGTGAGGCCTCCCTGCACCCAGTGTCCCAGAGTGTAGACAGTTCTGTGCACTGCTGTCCCTCCCCCCCGGTGATGTCAGTGTGGGAGCAAACTCCAATTCACGCGGCTTCTACCAGTCTTGCTCTCCCCAGACTGTCAGCTCTGTGTCCTCAAAGCAGGGTCTCAGCCAGGGGACCGTCATCATGCTCACCTTGCTTGTTTCCCGTCTCCAGTGTCTTGAACACCATTGTTTCTCACAGGAGGTAAATCTGGGCCCTGTTGTCTCACCTTGACTGGAGGCAGGGCTTTAATAGGAAAGGCTGATGATCCATGGGCATCTCGGTTGTGTCTCTGCTTTATGGTGTGATGTGGAGACTTTCCTTCTATGCTGTGTAAGCTGCTCCCCTCCCCAGCCCCCCACACATGTCCCCACAAGCACAAGGGCTCCAGGCCCCTCTGCAGTGGGCATGCCGCCGTGTGTCCCACACCTCACAGACTGTGTGTCATTTCAGGCCAATATAGCCGAGCTGGAGGTCTCGATTCCTGCCAAGCTGCACAACTCCCTCATCGGCACAAAGGGCCGCTTGATCCGCTCCATCATGGAGGAGTGTGGCGGGGTGCACATTCACTTCCCAGTGGAGGGCTCGGGAAGTGACACTGTTGTCATCAGGGGCCCTGCTTCGGATGTGGAGAAGGCCAAGAAGCAGCTCCTGCACCTGGCTGAGGAGAAGGTGAGCTTCACGCCCGGGAGTGACGGCCCTGTGTCCCCCTCTTGGTAGAAATCCTCGCCCCGTTGTTGTGGCAGGTCAGGAAATTGCCTCAGACACCTTTTTGTGTCTTTGATTCTGCCGCTGCTGAACAAAGGCCTTGGCAGGTCAAAGCCTACTTACACAGTACAGAAAATTTGCTATTTGGTTTATTGGTTTGGGGTTTTGTTTTTGTTTTGTTTTGTTTTAAGATTTTATTTCTTTGAGATTGAGCACAAGCAGGGGGAGTGGCAGAGGGAAAGGAAGAAACAGGCTCCCTGCAGCCTGACATGGGGCTCGATCCCTTGACCCCAGAATCACGACCTGAGCCAAAAGTAGACACTTACCCGACTGAGCCACCCAGGCACCCCTGGGTTTTGTTTTGTTTTGTTTTTTTAAGTATGATTTATAGACGATAACACCCGCCTTTCTTAGCGTATACTTCTGAGTTTTGATGAGCATAAACAAACTCATGTGACCACCACTGCAGTGAAAATGTTTTGGCCGGGGCGCCTGGGTGGCTCAGTTGGTTAAGCCACTGCCTTTGGCTCAGGTCATGATCCTGGAGTCCCCGGATCGAGTCCCGTGTCGGGCTCCCTGCTCGGCGAGGAGCCTGCTTCTCCCTCTGACCCTCCCCCCTCTCATGCTCTCTCTATCTCATTCTCTCTCTCAAATAAATAAATAAAATCTTTAAAAAAAAAAAAAAGTTTTGGCCATCACCCCTGAAATTCTGCGTTGAGTCACCTTTGCCCCTTTGTCAGAACCCACGTGTGGGTCTGTTTCTGGACCGTGCTGTGTTCTCGCAACTCCATAGGGAGGGATGGCTGGGAGATCCCTCCAGCTTTGCGCTTTTCCAGACTGCTCTGGCCATTCTGCATCTTTGCCCTTCTGTGCACATTTGGAACCAGCTTAACAGTTTCTAGGGGGAAATCCTGCTTGGATTTGGACTGGGACTGTGTTGAATCTAAAGATCAAATTGGGGAGAATTGACAACTGAGGAGTTTGGAGTTTTCTGGGTTGTGTTCTTAAATTTTAAGTCTTCGATTTTTCATTGGTGTTTTGTAGTTTTTAGCATGCGGATCTCATTCATATTCTGTTCAATTTAAATCCTCACTATTTTGCTTTTTAGTGACTGCTGTTGTTAAATGGTACCTTTTAATTCATTTTAATTTCTAGTTACTGTAGCATGTAGAAATATATCTAATATTTTTATATGGGCTTTGTTTTATGCGTCTGGTTTAAAGTTCAGTTATCAGTTCCAGTAACATTTCTTGTGGATTCTTGAGTTTTCTGTGTAACACACATTGTCTGTGAACAGACCGTTGAATTCTTTCCTGCTGATCCATACACCTGTAGGTGTGGTCTCACTGCATCGCTTGGGCCTCCAGTACAGTGTTGAGGAGCAGTGAGAGGGGACGGCTGCGCCTCATTGGCGAACTTTGGGGAGAGAGCTCAGTCCTGCAGCATTGAGTGGGAAATGAGCTGTGGGTCTTCCAAAGAAGCTCTTTGTCAAGTTGAGGAAGCTCCCTTCTGCTACAAGTTTGCTGAGAGCTACTGCGGGAACGGGAACGGGGGTGGGACTTTGTAGGAGGCTTTCTCTGTATCTGTTGACATGACAGCATGGTTTCTCTTTCTTTAAGCATATGTATTAGATTTTTTAAGTGTTTTTGGGGGGGTTTTTTGTTTGTTTTTTTAAAGTTTAACCTTGCTTTTCCGGGATGAGCCCCACTTGGTTTAGGTATGCTGTCCTTCATTGTGTTGCTGGGCTAGGCTCACCTAGCTTGTTAGCTTTTTAATAATGTTGCTATTTTCCAGTGTCTGTGTCTGAAGACTCTCTCAGGGGTGTTTGGGAAATCAGCAGTTCAGAGATAACAAAATTCATTCGCTTGTTACTTTTTAGCATGCTGCCAGACCTTCTTTTCCTTTGTGTTTCTTCGTGCTTATGCGCCAGGTTCCAGAATACAGGGAAGGAGAGGAGAAGGCATTGTGTGGGTCTGAGTCAGCCTGAAGGTGCATGTGCTCTCCTGGTGAATCTGCCAGATGAGCTGGCATCCTCAACAAGGTCATCATGTCGGGGCCTTTGCTGGGGCCTGGCTTCTTGGTGTCAGATGAGGACCTTGGTTGGCTTGGGTCTGTCCGAGATTGAGATTGGGCCTTGCGGTTGGTGTGTGGGCTCCCCTGTAGCCCGAGCAGGGGAAGGCCTGGACAGGGAGCACTCTGCTCGACTTGGGGAGGAGGAGGAGCGCTGTGCCTGGGGGTGGGGCTGGCAGTACCGTGGGCTTACCTGCTCTGCAGGTGCGCCCCTACTCCCGTAGCACCCGAGGCCATACTCACTTAAGTCCCCTCTGTAGGTGGAGAGCAGCGTGCAGGGCTTTGTTTGGGTCACTGCTGGTAAGTGGCAGGACTGGGGCTATGAATGTGCATGCTCTGAGCCATCTCAGTGTCTGGACGGCAGAGGGGGCCGTAAGTACTTCCTGTCTGGGTGTCCATCCCTTTGTTTTGCTGAGGCTTGATAGCCGCAGGCCTTTGTTCTCTAGGCCCCCTTACTTACCTGCTCAGGGGACCAGGCAGGTGGCACCAGGCCAGTGTATCTGGGATTGGTTTCCACAGCAAACCAAGAGTTTCACCGTTGACCTCCGTGCTAAGCCAGAATACCACAAGTTCCTCATTGGCAAAGGGGGCGGCAAAATCCGCAAGGTGCGTGACAACACTGGAGCCCGCATCATATTCCCAACGGCTGAGGACAAGGATCAGGACCTGATCACCATCATCGGGAAGGAGGACGCTGTCAGGGAGGCTCAGAAGGAGCTGGAGGCCCTCATCCAGAACCTGGTAAGGCCCGGTGGGCGCTGCACCTTGGTTGTCCTGTCAGGCTTGGTCAGCAGGGTCATTTACTTTTCCCCCTCTCTCCATGCCCCAGGATAACGTGGTGGAAGACTACATGCTGGTGGATCCCAAGCACCACCGCCATTTTGTCATCCGAAGGGGCCAGGTCTTGCGGGAGATTGCTGAAGAGTATGGTGGGGTGATGGTTAGCTTCCCACGCTCTGGCACACAGAGTGATAAGGTCACCCTCAAGGGTGCCAAGGACTGTGTGGAGGCGGCCAAGAAGCGCATTCAGGAGATCATTGAGGACCTGGTAGGTGCCTGGGAGGGTGGCAGGGTTCTTGGCCCCAACAGCCAGGGGCAAAGCGAGGGGCTAGGGGCTCTCAGCCTCTGGCCTTCATCCTGACAGTTGGAGGGAATACTGCTCCTAACCAGCGGCGTTTTAAAACATGATGAAATGCCGTTTGTGCAAGGAACCAGCCTCTCTCCAAAGGGAAGAGAAGAGACGAAAGGGGAGGGCCTGTCAGAGCGGATCCACATGGAAACCAGTTGGGTTTTCCCTCCTGGCACTCCCCTGCCGCGGCCTGGGAAGTACTTCCCTGACCATCAGTCCCAGCGCCTCCTTATGGAGTCGTAGCCCCAGCGTTCGCTGTCACTGGCCCATGCAGCCACCCTTCAGGGACAGCACCTAGCTGTGCAGGACGCGCAGAAATGGCTGTACTCCAGCTCTGGGCGGCAGCGAGCCTCGGTGCCATTTTGTGTAGATGGGTCATCAGTACTTTCTTGTGTCTGGGAAATGTGTCAGAAGGAGGCATCCCATTCGCTCCTGCCTCACTCCCCTCCTCTCTCCACCCTGTTGTACTTGGAGCACTTGAGGTGTCTGCGGAGGACTGAGTGGAGGCTGGTGAGGATGTGCACTGACCCTAAGCAGTTAACCTTTGCCTTTATTTTTTTCTTTCTTGCTGTGCCCTGCACCCCCCCACCCCCCCAGGAAGCCCAAGTGACCATAGAATGTGCCATACCCCAGAAGTTCCATCGATCTGTCATGGGCCCCAAAGGTTCCAGAATCCAGCAGATTACTCGGGACTATAATGTTCAGATTAAGTTCCCAGACAGAGAGGAGAACCCAGGTGGGTCCCAGCGGTGAGCTCTGTGCTGAGTGGGGAAGCAGGAGGTGTGTGGATGGGCCCTGCCTGGGGAGTTCCGGAGCTTCCCTAGGACGTGGGCTCTCTCAGTTGCTGCAGGGTGATGGGTGCCCTTGTAGCGTCAGGAGGCTTGCAGCGGGTGATGCGGCAAAGGAGGGCAGAGCACCTGCGCCTCTGAAGCAGGGAAGCACCCGCCCCAGCTGCCACCCTGAGTTTGGTTCTGAGGCTTCTCACAAGTCCCAGGTGACCTGTGTGCTAGGGCTGCTTCCGCTCTGCCCACTGCAGCTGCCTCTCCCCCAGCACCCCTACTTGGCGGGTCTTACCCCTTGAGAGGCAGGCACCCTGGCTGCCCTTCCACCACAGCCCCTCGCACCAACGTCCTGTTTATCGCTTGGCTCTGCATGTGCCTCGGGGACAGTCGGGTGGTAGGCAGTCATGAGGTGACCTGCACAGCGAGGGGTCTCAGAGCTGACTTTCCCAAGACCCGCCTCCCGCTCAGGTTGCAGCCAAGTGTGTCGTCTTTTTGGACTGATGTCGGTGGATGCATCTGGTCCGGTTGGCGACGGTGTCCACTCCGTGTGCTCTGTCCTGTACAGAGCTGGTCGCGGCCGCTGACTCTCTTGTTGCCCTGAGAGCGCACGGGCTGTTCTGAGTACATACGGAGGAAAACTGCATAGGATAAAGATGTATTTTCTATCTTCGTTATTCAAATTCAGTTTGTTTTCTTTTGCCCCCCCTTCTTTTATGCATACAGTCATTTTTTCTAAGTCATTGGAGTGTACTCTTCAAACTTACCTTTAGTGGCTCCTTCCTGAGAATGAGAACTTTTTTTTTGACGTCATTTGTGGTAACTGGGGTACATCCGTCATCAGAATCAGAAGATCTAACAGTATATGGTACTGTTACCGAATTTAGTCGGTGTTCAAATTTTGCCACTTTGGAAAGTGTCTGCAGAGCCGACCTTCCCCACAGTTGGGTGCAGGACTGTGATTGCTTCGGCGTCCCGCTGTTGCTCGTTCACACTTGTTCCTGTTGTACAGACTGCTGCATTCTGTCCTGCCCCACGAGCCTTGCGTTTGCGTTCGGGTGCACACCTGGTCCCCCACCAGCCGGCGTCTGTGTCAAGTGTCCTGTCCCTTCATCCTTGAGTTTCGCTTGCTTGCCTCCTGGCATAAGAAGCTGGTGCCCTCTCCCCTCCTCCCTCCCAGCCTGTGTCGTAGGCCCCTCCCCACGGCCATGTCCCAACCCCAGGGCTTGGGCTCTAGTCTCCTTGCCCCTCAAACACAGTGGGTGCCGTACCCCATGCCTCCCACACGCCAGCCTCCAAGGTAACCAGCTCCGCCTGAGTTGAGGTGACTCATGTCCTCCTGGGAAGCCAGGCGCGTATGGGTCTTCCCTCCCCACCCCCCCCAGCACGTGGCGGGTGCTTCACACGTGTTTGCCTGGAGGGTGCAAAGTCGGCATGTGAGCTGTCCCCCCTCTCGTCTCCCCAGTTCACAGTGTAGAGCCGTCAGTCCAGGAGAACGGGGACGATGCCGGAGACGGGAGGGACGCCAAAGAGGCCGACCCTGGCTCCCCCAGGAGGTGTGACATCATCATCATCTCTGGCCGTAAAGAAAAGTGTGAGGCCGCCAAGGAAGCCCTCGAGGTGGGTGCGGCCTGACACTGACTGCCGGTGGCGCTGGTCTCACTGGCCTGGGGCACAGAGTCCAGCACCTGGGGGCTGCTGGCGGGCACGGAACTGACGGGTTTCAGTGACAGCAGGGGGCATGTGGTCTCCAGCCTCGGTTTCCTTTTCTGTCACATAGTGAACCAAATCTATCTCGGACTTGTAAGGATGAGTGCTTTGTGCTGTGAATACTTAACTGAATGCCACCTACCTGTTGGGCACTGTTTTAAGTGCTGCTGTCATCTCTAAGACCCACGTGGGCTTGGCCACAGTCTGTCTTTGACATCAGTGAGGCCGGGAGGCAGGGCCAGCTTCTGCGTCTGAGCCCCACTGGTCCCCCTCTGTAAGCCTCAGATTGCTCTGGTTTTTTTCCTGGCTTCAGTTTGTTCTGTTTCATTTTGTTTCTGTAAGTGGTCTGTCACATTTAAGAGTGTAAGCTTGCGGTTGACTTTCTGAAAGTTTGCCCTGTTGGCATTAATCTTAAAAAAATGGATTCCATGTTTTGTTTTGTTTTGTTTTGTTTAAGAGAGAGCGTGCACGCACAAGCAAGCAAGCAGGGAGAGGGGCAGAGGGAGAGAGAGAATCCCAAGCAGACTCCCCAAGTGTGGAGCCCAATGCAGGGCTTGATCCCAGGACCCCTGAGATCATGACCTGAGCCGAAATCAGGAGTCAGACGCTTAACCAGCCACCACCTAGGTGCCCCTTGATTCCATGTTCTTTTTTTGTGTCTTCTTTTGAGTTAAAAGCCTGGGTGCTGGTCTCAGTTTAGACGGAACAGCATGGAAGGTTCCAGGAAGCTCCCTCTAATTCTCACAGGGTCACTCTGCTCCCCGCTAGCTCTCAGGCCTGCCCCTGACCGTCTTCCCTGCAGGCACTGGTTCCTGTCACCATCGAAGTGGAGGTACCCTTTGACCTTCACCGGTACATCATTGGGCAGAAGGGGAGTGGGATCCGGAAGATGATGGATGAGTTTGAGGTACCATGATTTGCAGTCTTTTCCCTGGAGCCAGTGTTGGGTGGGAGCCCTCCCGAGGGCCTCTGGCAGTTCGGCCCCTTGGCGGTGCACCTTCTTCCTGCTCTTAGCCGTGCAGCAGCCGGCCGCCCCTGTGTCTTCGTCCAGGACCCCATCTACATCAGGTCCATTCCTGTTTCCATGTAGGTGAACATCCACGTGCCAGCGCCGGAACTGCAGTCCGACATCATCGCCATCACTGGCCTTGCCGTGAATTTGGATCGGGCCAAGGCTGGCTTGCTGGAGCGCGTGAAGGAGCTGCAGGCTGAGCAGGAGGACCGGGTGGGTGTCCGTTGGGCCGTGGGGGCGTCCTCCAGAGCTGCGGTCCTCGGCCTTCGTCTTGCCAGAGCATCACCAGCACCCTGACCACGCTGCAGCCAGTTTGGCTGGGTGACTGGAGGAGGACCCGGCCGACCCTGTCGTGCTTTGTGCCCAGTGGCCTCTCTTCAGATGCAGTGTTAGGAGCAGGGCACTTTTCTCTTCCTTAAGACTGCAGCAAAGTTAGATTCCCTGTTAGCACTTTTTTTCAAAGTAAACGTGCCATGTGTGGTGCCTCCAGCCACATGGGAAAGGTCAGGTTGGAGAGGCCTGGGAGCCGTTGCTGCGAAACACCCCCAAACGTGAGTGGTGTGGTCCAGGGGTGGTGTCCGCGGACCCACGTGGACCTTCTCACTGCTCGGTTTTCCTGCTTTGAGGAGGGTTCAAGACTCACTTGCCCTCTGGAGAGCTGGTGTTGGAGGGTTTCCTGAGGTGAACGGTGTGGCCGGGTGCTGTCCCCTCCAGAAGCCCTGTTACAGATGATGTGGGTCACGGGCTTCCTGCTGAGGAGGATTTCCTGGAGTCGTGTTGGGGATATGGCCCACAGACTTCACACACCTGAGTGTGGTTCCAACGGTCTCAGCCTCTGGCCACGGATGTCTCAGGCTGGCTGGCCCGCTTTTCCTTCAGGCCTGCTTTTCTACCCCAGCCTTGAAAGATTCCCCCCCCCCCCAAACATTTTTATACTTCAGATCCCTGTTAAACCAATTAGAAAGTTGAGCTCAGAGCTCACCACTTGCCACGCCAGCCTTGTCGGCGCCCGAGTAGTCCTTTCTGAAGGGTCTGTGCTCTTGCTTACAGGCTGGTCCTTGAGCTACTGGGGTGGGGTGACAACAGAGGTTAGCAGGAAAGCAGTGTCCAATTTTGTCGCTGGGGATACCTTTGGGGTCCAGGACAGAAAGGGGGGTGAGGCACGTGGCTGCGTGTGATGGTGAAGGTCGGGCTTGAACTCCTCCACCCTTGTCTTATCTGTAGGCTTTAAGGAGCTTTAAGCTGAGCGTCACTGTGGACCCCAAATACCATCCCAAAATTATTGGGAGGAAGGGGGCAGTGATTACACAAATCCGCTTGGAACATGATGTGAACATTCAGTTTCCAGATAAGGACGATGGGAGCCAGGTAAGAATGACTGCTTGGGTCAGACTCCATTGCCGGAGCATTTTGGGGCATATGGACTCTTGTAACCTCATCCTGACCTGGGAGCAGTGAGTGGGCAAGCTTAGAATGTGCCCAGGTGGGTGGAGAGAGGGCAGAGTGCAGAGTGGCAGGTCTCTGAGGATCGAGTTTTGGCTTGGGCTTTGGGCCCTGTCTCGGTCCGTGTCAGCCTGCATCGCTGCGTGGACCTGGGGCACTTTTCCCCTGCCCACCTGGTCATCTTGGCAGGCAAGCTGGGGCTCCAGCTGGGTCCCTCCCATACAGTTGTCCCCACAGGTGCAGTCCTTCAGGGAGCACCCTCCCCCGCCCATCACTCCCCTGCCTGTCCTCTTGGCTGCCATAGGGGCCCCTTCCAGCACAGTCTTAACGCACAGCGGCAGCCCAGTCTCTGCGTCTGCTGCAGTGGTGTGCAGAGCACCCAGAAATGGTCTGCTCGGAATCTTGTGGCCAGCAAATCCCAACACGCCTCTACAGACTCTGGCCGAAATTTTGTTTTAAAGATTTTATTTTGGGGCGCCTGGGTGGCTCAGTCATTAAGCATCTGCCTTCAGCTCAGGTCATGGTCCCAGGGTCCTGGGATGGAGCCCCGCATCAGGCTCCTGGCTCAGCAGGGAGCCTGCTTCTCCCTCTCCCACTCCCTCTCCCCCTGCTCATACTCTCTCTCTCTCTCTGTCTCAAATAAAAAAAAATCTTTAAAAAAAAAGATTTTATTTATTTGAGAGAGAGAATGAGAGAGAGCGAGCACATGAGAGGGGGTAGGGTCAGAGGGAGAAGCAGGCTCCCTGCTAAGCCGGGAGCCCGATGCAGGACTCGATCCCAGGACTCCAGGATCATGAGCTGAGCCTAAGGCAGTCGCTCAACCAACTGAGCCACCCAGGTGCCCCAGACTCTGGCCTTTCAACCTGCATCCATGCACTGGGGCAGGCCGTCTGTCTGTAGCTTCTTTTTCTCCCCAGCCCAAGTCTGTGAGCCGCACAGTTACCTGAGTTCAGAAAGGCAGGCAGGCCTGTCGGGGCTCACCCCACAGCCCCCACCTCTCCTGTCTGCCTCCTGCCTGGTCCTACCTTCCCCAAGTGCATCCTTCTGTCTGCCTCTGCATTTCTAACAGACACATTTACACTGCTGTTCTTTTTTATTTTTTGTGGGGTTTTGTTTGTGTATCTGTTTTTAAGCTGTATGCCTAATGTGGGGCTTAAACTCATGACCCTGAGGTCAGAAGTCAACTGCTCTTCTAAATGAGCCAGCCAGGTGCCTCTCTAATTTTTAATGTTTTTATTTATTTTTTTAACTTTATTTTTTTTTAAGATTTTATTTATTTGAGAGGGGGAGAGAGAGAGTGAGTAAGAGCCCAAGAGCAGGGAGAGGGAGAAGCAGACTCCCCACTGAGCAGGGAGCTGGATGGTGTGGGGCTCGATCCCAGGACCCTGAGATCATGACCTGAACCACCCAGGTGCCCATAATTTTTAATATTTTTAATAGTGAGAATTCAGTTTTTATTTATTTCTTTATTTTAAATTACTACAATTTTATTAACTATATCCTTTGGGTTGTACTTTTTTTTTTTTTTTAAAGATTTTATTTATTTCTTTGAAAGAGAGAGAGAGAGAGAGCGCATGACGGGGGGGAGGGTCAGAGGGAGAAGCAGACTCCCCGCCGAGCAGGGAGCCCGATGCAGGACTCGATCCCGGGACTCCAGGATCATGACCTGAGCCG